GCATTGAAGTCATTGGACCAGGTGCTAGCTACACTGCCTTTGGGAATTCCATGAGGGAGAGAGGATTGGCACATTCCTTTCATCCCTTAGATATTTTATTATCTTTTGCCTAAACAACACAAGTGATGATGTGTTTCTGCTAAGATGCAAAGATCTTGGAATGCTGAATTCCACAAATTGTATGTGTTTAAAAAGAAAGATCTTAGTTTTTCTAAACTCCTGTCACAATTTTGAACAAAAGGGTATATATATGTAAAATAAATGCATACATTTTATTTTATATATATTTTTTATTTTTTTTTTTAAGCCTACAGCACCTGGTCTTCCTAGGTGGTCTCCCATCCAAGTACTAACCAGGCCCAACCCTGCTTAGCTTCCGAGATCAGACAAGATCGAGCATGATCAGGGTGGCATGGCCATAGACTAAATGCCTAAATTTTAGATTCTGAAGTTAAGCTGCAAATTCTCATCTTATATACTTATATACTTAAATTCTCATCTTATATCTCATCATGATATACTTATGGCATGACTTTTTATTATTTTTACGTAACTGGTGAGAAAATGTGCTCCAACCCATTTTTTGCTCTTTTTCTCTTTATTTTTTAAATTACCATACAGTAAAGTTGACTTTTTTGTTCATACAGTTCTATGAATTTTAACCCATGTTGATTTGTGTAACCCCACAATCAGCAGAACGATTATCCCAGAAAACTTTGCTATGCAGTCTCTCTGTAGTCGCATCTTCCCCATGAGGAACCACTGACCTCTGTCACTACTGTTTTGTCTTTTAAATAGAACCATACAGAATATAACCTTCCGAGACTGGTTTCTGTTGGAAACGGCATAATGCCTTTGCAGTCATCCAAGTTTTTGTGTGTATCGATAGTTCATTCTTTTTTATTGCTGAGTAGTATTCCATCGTATGGCTGTGTACCACATTTTGTTTACATTCATCTGTCGAATATTCAGGTTGTTTCCAGTTTGGGGCAGTTACGAATAGAGCTGCCATAACTGTTCCTCCACCGACAAGTGGGATTGCTGGGTCATGTGATAAGTGTATGTTTACTTTATAAAAAACTGCCAAACTTTTTTCCAGAGCGGCTGTATCGTTTTGCATTCCCCTTAGCTGGGTATGGGAGTTGCAGTTGGTCGGCATCCTCATTAGTGCTTGCTTCTGTCGGTGTTTTTTATATTAGCCATTCTGATAGGTGTGTAGCGGTATCGCATTGTGGTTTTAATTTGCATTTCCTTTGTGGCCGCAGATGTTCAACATCTTTTCATACTGTTTGCTGTTCATATTACTTCTTTGGGGAAGAGTCTTTTCAAGTCCTTTGCTTGTTTTTTTTGAATGGTTTCTTTTCTTAGTGTCTCAATTTTGTTTGGCCTTTGTACACCCTCTGTAAGTAATATTTCTTTTTCTCACTACTTTTTCTTATTTTTGTATTAGACAGTGTCACAAGATTTCATAGACCTAAAAGCTGGGTTTTAAATGTGGGTTACCCTATTAGTCGCTTTGTGACAAAATATTTACCTGACAGGATTATTACGAAAAGTAGATAATTTTAAGTGGTTTATGTGGAGTGCTTGACACAGAGCTGTATCTAAACCTTTCTCTCCCTCAGTTTATATCTTACAGTGCATTCCCTGTAATGCTCAGTGGAAAGAAACTCAGAAAAGAAATCTGAGATATGCCCCCTGCAGTAGCTACCTTTTGGAGGGCTACTATGAACATGAGTATTTTAATGGCTCTAATAAGTTGGATATTTCTTTGTCGTAGGACTTGTTTTATCCAGCATTTTCCCATCTTATTTATGGAACACTTGGCCTGCGACATCTACTTAACATACTTTATGACACAGACTTTGGGAAATACTGACTTAGCACGTTACTCCACATAGTGTGGCACATAATAACTAGTCATTATTTGTCAAATAGATTCATGATTTCATTTAGGTTTTAAGTCCTGAGGTAAACAATTAACGAATGTATTCACTTTTATCTTGAGATGGGTTATATAGCTTATATCCTTCTCTATTTCATATGTTTGTTTTTCATGACTCTCCCCATTTCTAAGGAAGTACTAGGTGGTTTGATAGTTTGATTCCTAGACCAGTAGCACCATTAGCACCTCTGGGTGATATTAGAAATGCAAATTCTTGGGACCCTCCCTAGGCCACCGGAAAGAAAAACTCAGTGAGGCCCTGTAATGTGTGTTCAACAGGCCCTTCAGGTGATTGTTACTTGTACTAGTGTTGGAGAAACCCATTCTAGGGAATCATTTAGTTTGGGGTTTTGTTAGCAGAGCAGCAAAATCAGAGAAGGTTCAGATCATCTAGATCTGACTAGGATTAATCACAACATCTTTCTGTATATCTGGTGATGCTGAAAAACTTTGTAAAACACATGAGAACACTAATACAGATTGGCACGTGTTACTGCCTTAGTTTTCCAGTTCGGGTTGTGAGAGCAGTTCAGTTGGAAGCCCTCAGCAGCTGAGAAGGCAGAGAGGGGAAGGACGGGAACATGAGTATCACATGTAGTGAGGATACGTTTTACAGCCCAGTTTCACTTGCCCATGTTTGTACTCCAGGTCACACTGTCGCATCTTTTTCTTACTACGGGTCGTGGTTAGGGTCATAGAAGGGGAAGCAGATCTGTTGAAGAAGAGTGAACACTGGATTCAGACTCTGAAAACTTGGGTGCGAGTACCACTCAGTTACGACCTTTATCAAGACTTTATATATCAGTGGTTTTCACCTGGGGGCGATTTGCCCTCCAGAGGTTGTTTGACAGACTTTTGAGACATTTTTGGTTGTCGCAATTGGGAATGGGGTGTTAATAGCATTTAGTGGGTAGAGGCTAGGGATGCTGCTAAACATCCTGCAGTACACAGAACAGCTTCCCCAAACCAAGAATTATCTGGCCAAGATATCAGTAATGTCATGACTGTGAAATCCTGGGTTAAATGATTACATTAAAATTGTAAATGGTCATATATGGTATGTAATGTTTGTTTTATTTAGAATATAAGTATTTTAAGAATAGGTATTTTAAAAAGACCTGTGTCTCAGTATTACCTTTCAAAGATAAAATATAGCATATAGTGCAGATGAAGGAAATTAGAGCAAATCTATGTGATCTTGGATAAATTATTTACCTGACAGGATTATTATGAGAACTAGATAATTAGGTACAATTAGTATGAATTATATACATACTAATATGATAATTAGATATATACTGATATGTTCCAAAAGCCTAGTATTTAAGTAGCATTTTGATATATAGGAATGGTGCAGAAGATAGAGTATTGTATAAGAAATGATATTGTATCAGTATAAGCAACTTTAGAGAAGTTTGTATTTAAACACATTACATCAATTCAATCCAGATTATTTGAGAGATTTATATAATTCTGTTAGAATGTGTTAGCCAAGTATAAAAAAGTGTAGGTACCCAGGGCTTTTAATCAGAATTCCAATTTATGGAAACAGTCTGTCAGCACATTTGAGCCAGTATCCTGTCTAGGACTACGTATCATACCACCAGCAAGATGGCGTAACCTTCATGTGCTCTGTGACTGTTTCACCTTGCAGTGCTTATGGAGAAGGAGGGGCTTAGCTTAGACCCTCTCTATGAATTAGAAAATTAATTGATCTTGGTCATCAAGTTCTAAGGATTACAGGTTAAAGAGATTATCTGTACTTAGAGTATGCATTTTACCTACATTAAATTGAAACCATCTTTCACTCACTGCAGTCTGAGAGTTTGAAAAGACAGAAACTTCATTGTTAAGGTCTGAATATAGGTCTTGGTGTACATTCCACCTTTTAATCTTCATCAGCCAAATAGTCAACATTTTATACAGCCATTATTTTGTATCAGACACTGTCTTAAGATCTTTACATGCAATAATATTTAATTCTTATGGCGGTTCTATAAGGATAGGCATTGTTTTACTGTCCACTTTTGTTAACTTAATGACAGTCACACAGAAAGTGGTAGAACTAGGATTCAAACCCAGGAAATCAGGCTCTGGGGTATGTGTTCTTAACTACCACGCTCTACTGCCTGTTTAACAGTTGCCTTGCAGGATGGTCATAATTAAATCAGATTTCATGTGCCAACACCTCACTTGTGTTAGGTACTCATGAATGAGAGCTATTATCACGTATTGTTGTTAAACACGAAGCATGACTTTTAAACGTCTCTTAAAAAAAACTAGAGTCTATGGCCATGCTACCCTGAACAAGCCCGATCCTGTCTGATCTCGGAAGCTAAGCAGGGTCGGGCCTGGTTAGTACTTGGATGAGAGACCACCTAGGAAGACCAGATGCTGTAGGCGTAAAAAGTAAGAAATAAGGGATAGTAAACTGACAAGGTCCTTGCAATCTATGAGGTCAACCAAGCGTTGCCTCATCTAAAAACAAAACAAAACAAAAAACTAGAAATTATATATCTAAATCGGGAATGCATATTTTAAAAATATTTCCCACATAATAAGAACAGGAGTTATACTGAGATGATCATTTTTTTTTCCCTTTATTATCTTAGTATATTACATTGATTTTCATATGTTGAACCAACGTTGCATTCTTGGGATAAATCTCACTTGGAATAGTGTATAGTCCTTTTAGTATGCACCTTGATTTGATTTCTAGTAATTTATTGAGGAATTTTGCATCTAAATAATGGATATTGGTCTGTAGCTTTCTTTTTTCGTGGTATCTTTGTCTGGCTTTATCTTAGTCATTCTCTAATCTGTACGCCCTCATCATGGAAAGAGGCCTTATTTTACTCACCCGTTTCTAGCCTTAGGTCAGAGGTCATTTCACTACATAAGTGCAGAAAGCCAGTCAATCAGGTGATCGTGTGGGGCCCTTAAAACATTCCGGTTTGGCAGTCAGGACAGTAGTCCCTGGCATAGGGGGATATTTAAGAAGCATGTGTACTTTTGCAGTACTGTTAAGATTCTGTCGTGCCCTGATGTTAATAGGGCGGCTTTAGTTGTTTTCAAAGTTATTAACTGCTCTGATTTCAAGGCCCGTAAGTGCCAGAGGCAGAATTTCAAATCCTACTCTGAAAGGATTCTGTATTTTTATCTTTTGGATACCTCTAAAGTATGCTTTTCCTTCCTTCCCTCTCTTTCTTCTTTTTCTAAATTCTCTGTAGCTCTCACCTGGTATTTGGACTAGTGGCCTGGAAAGACATTATTGGTAGTGGTGCTGTTAAAGCAGTTTTTTGCTGCCCTGTGATTTTTACACCACACCATAAATTAGACCAGCGATAATAGCGAGCTTTACAATGAATCATAGTACACATAGCCACGTGAATACACAGTAGTCACATAATACTTACAGTACTGTGTGTTCACAATTCGATACTGACATATCTAGTAAAATTAACTTTAATATAGTTTATTAACTATGATATATCATTAACATTTTCCAGTAATATTTTTGATTTCAATGAT